TTAGTATAACACATTATTAGTCCCAGCAGAGGCGAGCACTAAAGCTAAGCCCTGCTCATACATTTCTAATCTCTTACTACTGTAAAATAAGTCTTTAGCAGGCGTTTCTAGAGTGCTAAACAGATTTGTAGTTTATAAACTGCCTTGTGGATAAATTGTTGAGTCTTTGTTGCGCTGCTTAGCTAACTCATTTGCCAACTGGTGGAACTTGAAAGCTATGTTTAGTTCTCTGGAATTGTATATATTAAAACTAGGGCATCAATATTGTAGGCACAGGATGATATAAGGAGTGATCAATCATCATATAATTAGGCGGTAGAACTTGGTTTGGGTTGCAAATAGTTCTGTATACAAGTAGGAATGTTGAATCTTCTGAACTATTAAGTTGTTGTGCCTGGTCTATTTCAGGTTAACTTGAGGGTGAACCCATCAATAATACATTTACCAAACAGTTTTTTCTCTCTAATTTTATTCTCAACCCCAGTGTACATTAGAAGGACTTTTTGAGTTTATTTTTGATGTTATATTGAAATAAGGTGAAATTCCTGTGTTATTATTAGTTAAGGGTTAGTTGAGTTCTGGCCTAGTTATGTTTCATCTGTCACCTTGGTTATGTGTCTTGTCTGTTCTCTGTACGGTCCGTCTTGTCTTCTGTGTTTTACTTTTATGTCCATGCCCGCATTTCCCTAATCTGTTTCCTTGAGTCTCCCCATGTATTTCTGCGTGTTCCATGTTATATTTGTCAAGCTCGTGTTGTCTTGACTGCGTCCCTTTCTTGTTTCTGTTTTACTGTGAAGAGTCTGGTGTTCCATGTTCAGTTTGTTTTGTTGTACTTACCCTGTGGCATTCAGGTTCATTTGTGTCAGCTGTGTTTCCCCGGTGTTTCCATTTCCCTCTTATCCTTTCTATGTATTTAAGTCCTCTGTCTTCATCTGTTCAGTGTCTATTTATCTTCATGTCAAAGTCAGAATTTTCATCTACTGCTCAGGTTCATGTTCATGCTCATGTTTAGACTTTTATGTTTGCATGTCCCTGTTAAGTTTCATGCTCTTGTCTCTCGTTATTGTTTTCAATGTTAGTTTAGGTTTTCCGCAGTTAAGGTTTTAGTTTAGTTTCACCCTTGTTTCGCCTTGCCTGGCTTTTATGTTTTTGGACATCACCCTGAAATAAACAGCTTGTTTTTTTTGTTTTTTTTTTTGGTTTGGGTTTTTTTTTTTTTGAAGATTCGGTTCTGTCTCACCTTCGTCTGCTTTTGTGTCCGCTACACACCAGCGATCCCTGCATTACATTTTTCTTGTTGTTCCAGTTTTAATATGATGTTTGTAACTCTTTGTCTAGTTTGTATATCTATGTGATGGCATTAGCAAATGTTTAAAAAGTGGTTGTTGTTAGACCACCTGTATGTATACAGTGTTTGATAACTGATTATGTAAAAAAAAAAAAAAGTGACAAAGCGCTGGACAATAACATATTATACCTATTTCTTTCTCTCTCTTTTCAGGTTAAGGCTGAAACTCCTTGCTGGTGTAGAAAGATACTATTTTGGTATGTTGATTGCTAAAAATAAGAAAAAACACTGATAGCACTTCCACAGTTACTTTAAAAAAAGTAAAAAAAAAAAAATCATACAATGGCGTTCAAGTGCAAACTTTGTAATCTTATCTTTGGAAAACAGAGGTGCTTGAGCACTATCGGTTACATCATAGGAATGTTTCCTCAGTCAGTCCTTTGCCATGTCCATATGATTGCTGTATCTGTACATTTCAGTCACTGAATGCTTTGAAAATTCATTTAACACGGATACATTCTCAGAAAGTTTTGCAAAGTAGAGATCAAAGTGCAGTATTTCTTTGCCCTCTTTGTGGTTGTAGCCAACCATTCAATGATAAAAATGTCCTTAGTCACTTAAGGACACATCTAAAACAGCATGAGACATTAGATTGCCCTTTCAAAAATTGTCACTACCGTACTAATGTGTATTCTTCCTTCAATACCCATAGAAGTAGGTGTCATCCTGATGGTGATATTTCAGCCTTTAAGTGTGAAATTATCCTTAAAGAAACTGCTAACCATCCTTTACAGAGTAATGTTGAATATGAGGATGCTGGTCCCTCAAACTATGACTATGAACTTGGAAGTCCTTCCTCTAATCCTTCTGAGTCCACACATGACACTGAGGAACTGCAAAATCAGTTAAAAAACAACTTGTCTTCCCTCTTCTTAAAAATGTACAGTGTTCTTCATGTGTCAGAGAGAGCAATACAGAACATCATTGACGACTTGTTGCAGATATTCTCACTGTCCAAACCTCTTGTGAGAGACTCTATTACCAACATTCTGCACCAGCATAGTCAGCCAGTGAGTGAAGTCGTACTGAATGAGTTGGTGGAAGCTGTTATGAACACAAATGTTTTTGTTAATGCAGCTACAGCAGGTGCAGAGTTATCCACTGCTAAGCGGAGGAAAACCTTTGTGAGGAGCCATTACCCTCTAGTAATGCCTGTCCAATACTCTCTAGGTTCTAGTGGTCCCACAGTAGTATATGTCCCAGTATTGCAGATGCTCCAGAGTATGTTCAAAAATACTGATATTCTTGATAAAATCAAAGAAACTAAACAATCACCACCTGGGGTGTACATGTCCTATACAGATGGGACATATTTCAAAGAGAACCAGTTTCTGTCAGCAGCCGGAGAGCTGAGGTTGTCACTGATTTTGTATGTGGATGACATTGAGCTAGCCAATCCTTTAGGCACAGCTAGAAAGATCCACAAACTTACTGCAGTGTATTGGTTACTTGCCAATCTACCAAGTCAGTACAGGTCAAGCCTACATGTTATACAACTAGCTTTGCTGTGCAAAGTTTCTGACCTGCAGAAGCATGGTTATGAAAATGTTCTTTCCCCTTTGTTGAAAGATTTGCAAACTCTGGAGCAGGAGGGCCTCTTCATAGAAACCCTTGGTGAATGCATCAAGGGTTCTGTGCTCTTTGTGGCAGCTGATAATTTAGCTGCTCATGGTCTTGCGGGCTTTGTCCAGTCTTTCAGAGCACATCATTTTTGCAGATTCTGCTGTTGCACTGCAAATCCGATGCAGACCACTGAAGTTTCTGAAGGTGAATTCACCATGAGAACAACGGAGTGTCACGATCTTCTTGTGGAAAAAACTGTACAAGAAGATAATTTAAACCATGTCGGTGTAAAAGATGATTGTCCCCTCAGAAAAGCACTGCAGCACTTTCATCCCATCACTGGTTTCCCACCAGACATACTGCATGATCTTTTTGAAGGGATTGTGCCTGTGGAGTTGGCGCTGTGCATTGGAGAACTTATTCAGCGAAAATATTTTTCTTTGGAATATCTAAATACAAAAATCCGCACATTTCCATACCAGCATTCAGACAGACTTGATAAACCCCAACCGATTCCCAAGAATTTTGCATCCAAGCTAAGCATTGGAGGAAACGGGCATGAAAACTCCACCTTGTTGAGATTAATACCACTTATGGTGGGAAGTAAAGTCCCTGAGCAAGATGAAGTATGGGCTACAATGATGGATCTCAAAGAAGTTGTACAGCTTGTATTGTCTCCATCTTTCACAGAAGAATCTATTCAGTACCTGCAAACCAAAATAAAGGAGCACAGACAAGGCCTTAAAACACTGTTTCCTGATTTTAAGCTCAAACCCAAGCATCACTACATTGAGCATTATCCTGAGCTAACAAAGCGCTTCGGTCCTTTGATTAACCTGTGGACCATGAGATTTGAGGGAAAACATCGCTTTTTCAAAGGAGTTATTCAGGATACAAAGAACTTCAAGAATGTTTTGAAAACACTTGCAACCAGGCATCAGCATATGATGGCATATCACCTCAATGGACCCTTGTTTTTCAAACCGCAAGCTTCAAGTGTCACCTGTGTCCAAGTTGCAACTTTGCCTGAAGTAGCACAAGATTTTATCAAGACTAAGACAGACAGCCAAAACATATACACCACTCATAAAGTGTCCCTAAATGGAACGGAGTATGCAAATGGAATGTTTGTCTCTGCAGGCCAGACTGGAGGACTTCCAACATTCAGCAGGATTGAATATCTTCTGCTTGTAAACAATTCCATTTCCTTGTTTTGCAGGAATTACGAATGCTGGTACATTGAGCATTTGAGGTCGTTTGAGCTGACATTAACAGACAGTTTTTCGGTGTATCAGCTGCCGGAGCTAAATGATACAGTAAGTCTGACAGCATATACTGTTGATGGACATCTGTTGTTGACACAAAAAAGATTCATTCTGATCAGACACTTGCAAGATTAATATTGCTTTTGGAATAAGCCACATGTAGCCAAATAGATCAGGGTGAAAAAAAGAACAACTACTACTCTTTTCTTTTCCTTTCTAGGAAATGTCTGCTCAAGCCCTACTACTTCATGTTCATGTCTCAAAAGAAATTGTGAGGAAAACTGACTTTATTCTCACGTCCAGAATCTGTGGATCAGCTAAAAGACATTATAAAAGAAAAGTTCAAACTTGACTATGACTTTAGCTTATTATACGAAGACCCAGACTTTGACAGGCAGCTTTGTTCACTTCTAGATATTGAGGAGCTTCCACAGAAAGCTGTTGTAAAAGTTGTTAGACCAGAGAGTGATGATAGTTCAGTAGCATCAGATGACACAATAATACTACCCCATGCCATGACTCCAGACAGGGTTGAAAGGTGGCCTCAGGATTTCCCAATTCCTACATTTTCCTATGAGGTAGAACTCATACTTGGTGAGGGTGATGTTGCTTATGAGAGAACAGGAAAGGCTCTCAAGTTGTCTAGGGGACAAAAGCATGACATTCTTGAAACTCTTGCAGCTAAAATGCATAGTTTCAAAGCATATCCTAGTGATCGGGACATATCAGTTGTAGCTGAAGCTCTTGTCACTAAGCATCCTTGTCTGAAGGAGCCTGGATCACAGACAGGCTGGTATGGGTGGAAAAATAGCCTAAAGTTTAAGATGGGGAACTATCGTGCTAAATTGAGTCGGGCTGGATTTCAAGAGGTAGCTGTGAATTCTGGAAGGAGAAGTCGAAATGACCCAGACAAGCAGTCACCACACACTGACATTAAGAGACCTAAAAAGGCAGAAGTAAACTTTCTGCCGAATTTCCCAAGGGGTGAAGATGCTGTTAGCCTTGAGCAGCTAAGACTACAGATTGTGGATGAAGTCAAGAAAAGTGAAAAGAATCACGTCCTGATTACAAAGCTGATGCATACCACATTTGCCTTGCGACGCAAAGAGATCATCAGTGATGACCTACCCGTAGGTGCCATCCTGGATCGCTGGCCTGCTCTGAAATTGGAATCTCAGGTAAGGTTTCCTTAGATGATGCATATAACAAGATGTATATTATATTGATTTCTGTTATGTGGCCTGTCTGAATTAATACAAATTAGGCCATGGTAGTGTAAGGATTTTGATGTATTTTGCAAAGATTTGTAGACTAATCGTAACTTGTAAATTTATTTTGTGTGTTCAGATCTATGCAGAATTCCACAGAATTACAAACCTCACCCTGAAGAACCACTTTTATGCTGTGTTGGACCAACATGCTCCCCGGCTCCAGAGCTTATTCCGAAAGAAAGCTGCTCGCACAGGGAAAGTGTCTGATGTTCTGTCTCAGCTCTTCCGAACCTATGATCTCCAGGTAGGTGGGGTTTTGTCTTGTGTGTTTTTTCTTTTTTTTTCTTTTCTTTTTTCTTTTTTTTTTAGAGTTTTTAGAGTTTTTAGATTTATTTAATTTGATCCATTTTTAACTGCCGTTCTTGACTAGGTAAGCCAATAATTTAAAAAAAATCTTCTTGTGATGTAGGAACAAGTTGATATTCATGCCCGACGTGCTGTTGTGCTTCATGCCCTCCCTGCCTATTTGCACGAAGACACCTCTACCTTCATCAAAACGTGGGATGTAAGTTTGTGAACAGTATCCAAGTATCAAACTTGTTTAGATTTCACAAACCATTATGAAACTTTGACAGTGTGAGAAGTATCTCCATCCTTTGGGTCTGTCTACAACAGTGTCCATGTCACATAATGGGGGAAACACCACATATTCTTAATGTGTATAGACCCTACCCTTCTATAATGTTCCTAGCCCAACCATACATCACTGTACATTTATTTATTTTTTTAAATAATAGAACTCCCATTGACTTTCTGTAGTTATTGCCATGAAGAGGTATGACTTTGCTTTATGAGTACTAGTTGTCATTTTTATTTTTCTCAAGTTTTTGGTGTGTTTTGGCTTTTTTGTTGTTCAAACACTTGATTTCTAAGATGGGGATAATCCAGTATTTGTATAGTGACTTGTGTAGATGAGACTAAGGCTACGTTCACACTGCAGGCGAAAGCGCATCAAATCAGATTTTTTTTTTTTTTTTTTTTTTTTTTTTTTTTTTTTTTTTTGGGACCCTATGCGACCCATCTATCCGATCATGGTATGACAGTGTGAACGGCACAAATCCAATATTTTCAAATCCGATCTGGGTCACTTTCGTATGTGGTCCTGAATCCGATACATATCTGATGTTTTAGAAAGCGACTGCTGTTTGAACGGTCAAGCCACATTAAATCAGTCTTTTACGTCACTGACACAAGACAGACGCCAATTATCAGCTACGGAGAAGCGCCCGAAAAGACATCGTGAACGCTTTCTGGCCATCCCGTGTAGATGTCAGTGAAACTGTTGGGAAGACAACGTTGGAGAAACGTGAACATTTTATTTGTACTGTATAATCTGCAGATTCTGACAGAAACCTGCAGCTATCCTTTGAAGCAGCGCTCCTCTAAAACAGCAATAAGGATCATTATTAGGTTATTTACATTATTATGTAAATGACAAAATAACTTAAAGCAAAAATTGGGAAACGTGAAGTCCGAAGTCTTTATATTAAGGGCCATCAGTCAAACAATACTGTTGCTCTGGGTCTAAACAGAGCGCGTTGTGTGTGACGTCTTCTTTTCTGCATGCGGCCGCTTTGAGCGTTCACACTAGAGCGCTTTTTCTGTCGCATTTTATTTGTAGTGTGAACAAGCAGACCAAAAAAATCTGATTTGATCAAAAAATCTGAATTGAGCATTGAGACCTGCAGTGTGAACGTAGCCTAAGAGAAATAGGAATGTACTAACATGTAGTAATTTTTTTTTTTTTTCTGTAGATGATGCATTCTGATGAACCAGATATTAGTGAAGTGCCACTTGGACTCCTCCTGATCAGAGCCAATTCCAGCGATGCAACATTCTTCTGCCCTGAGAAGATTGCAGTTTTGGTTGAGGGTAACATGATCATTGATTTCCCCACCCTGGCTGATGCATTTCTAGTAATATTTGGACTGACTTATGCCCTGCATCTAAGCTACCCAAAATGTTTGGCCAACACATTTGACTTTATTCAGAAAGTGTTGATGGGTCTGGAGGATGGGAAGTTGAAGCCCAAGGTGCTGAGTCTCAAAAATGATCATTTGGCAGCAGAATAATGTCCAGGGTTCCTACACAGCCCTCAAGTGCCTGTTAAAGCAAGTAACTAGTTTATCATTTTTCCAAGTCTGGATAAGTTTAAAAAAAAAAAAAAGAGAATACAAGCAAGAAAATGTTGGCATTTGCATACTCTCATTTCATACTCTATTATCTAAAAGCCAAACATCCAAAATAAAAGGGGAAGGTGATAAGGAGTTTTACAAGACTTTGTTTTATGTTTCTAAAGAAGGATTTATCTATTTAAGGTTTTATTGGTCTGTTGTTGACAGCATGATTGCACTGTACAGATGTGTATATTGGTTTAGTAATAACCCTTTGCTGATTTTGTAATAACAGTATTGGCATATTAAAAAGGTTCCCAATAATATTCCTGTGTATTAGCTGCACTGTAATTTACTTTCATTCAGTTTCCCCACCTGGCAATGCAGGATTTTCTGTGTGTTTTTTCATTTTTTTTATTTTTAACAAAAATGCCATACTCAACTGTTAATGGCATCTAAATACTGTTGTATTCAGGTTTCACATGTTGTGAAAGTCTTTATTTCTAATATTGTAACCTTGTGCCTAAACTTGACATTTCTGAAATTATTCCCAATAATATTTGGTGAATTTGTCTTTGGGATTGCCCGAGATTTGTTTTTTTTTTTTTTTTTCTGAACATACATGCAAGGAAATTTAATTTGTCATTTATTACTGTACTGCATTTGTCATACCGAAAGAGGATCTCAGCTCTATCCCCTTGCTACACACAAGTATTTTTGGTTCTCTGAAAAAAGGCAAATGTTAAGACATTGTGTCTTCACAAGTTAATGTTACTCAGTAAATTTGTAAGTTAAATTTATGTTGTCGGTCTTGTTTGTCATGTTTTTACAAGTGCAGTTGCTTATTTCTAACACATTTTTTATTTTTATATCCAATTCAAAACACAGTAAATTTGGCTACTACAGGAGTTTGGGTGTATTTTAAAGTTTTGAGTATCATTAACTTAAAATGGTTAACATTTTAAAACTAAATATTAATTCCTTATATTTACTTGATTTAGATTTGTACTTGAAACTCAAAATATTAAGTAGAGAGTACCAAACCAAGAATGTGGATATAACATGAAAACATTTGTCATTGGTACTTAAAAATATTTATCTAAAGCTAATAAATAAAGTGTGTTTAATTGACTTTCATCTTTGAGGTTTGGTTACTTAAAATATTTTATGTAATCAGTTTCACCAAAAGTTTTGAGTTAAATTAACTTATTTGGTTTTACAGTGTGGTAACATTGTCACGATTCGTTGAAATGAAGCTTGCAAATGTGAAAAAAGCTGACTACATTTGCAATCATCATGTGCTGTTTATATTAACTGCGAGGCACTGCATGCATGACAATATGACCGGGGCTGAGCCCCCTAAAAGTTTGGTTCTAGAATCGCCCCTGGTTTTACAAGACAGACATGAACTGGAAGAATCGACAGTGGACTGAAAACTGAACACATTACAAAGGCAAATTAAAATAATTTGTTCCTTTTCTTTTTGGGAAATGCGATTTGTATATTTGTGTAATAAGTTAATCTTGTAATATATTAAGGTCCCTAGGTTTATGCATTGTTTGTGTAAGCATGCCCGCATGTTCTTGTGTCATCTTTCAATCAATAAAAAAATAAAAATAATATTGTCTTTGTACCTTACTGCTTGGTATCAAGAAATGTTTTAATAAAAATAATCTCAACATTAGCTGATCGCAATAAGTTGCAAATTTTGAGCTAATCATATAATTGTTTTTTTTAACGCCACCACCTACAAAACCCAGTCAATCGTTTTAGAGCAGCTGTCAGCCTGAAGTACTTATATTCCTGTTAAGCTGATCATTATTATTATACTGTCAGCCATGCCTGATTTATGCGCTCAGATATTCTTTGAAATGAAGTTTGCTGCAGAAATGTTCCCTCTGCGTCATTTGTGTTGGACTGGAAGCAAAACGAGAGTCTGACACGAGTGAAGAGAAATTGTTTAAGTTATTTTCCCTTTTATACACTTTGTTTTCATTCGAGTGAACTCACAGCAACTCCCAGAAAGGACTCGGCAATGTTTGCTTGTTCTCTCTGTGTGAGCAACTCTGAGCGTCAGGGGTGGACGTGATATTTCAAACAGCACATCAGTGCGTTTATGTATTGGGTGCCCGGAAATTTTTCCAAATAAACACAGCTTGATTCAACCTGGGTGGGCAGACTTATCAAGCGACTAATTCTATAAACAGATGAGGGAATAACCCGGCACCTCATTGGTTGTTGGGCAGAGGAGGGGGACATGAGGGAGTTTCAGCGCAATGAAATTTTAATTAATGTGGGTGGGCTAAGAGCAGCACCGACTGTTTATGATGGACAATTTATTTCCCAGTGCAAAGTCAACATAACACAGCAAACGTACAACAATTATTAACATTTTTCTGGGGCCCTCATGAGGCTGGAGAGTCAGTCAGTGGAGGAGTGGAGCTGCGGGAGCAGGCTCAACTTTCCCCGGGACACACTGCGGCTTTCCCGCCGTCATGACTCTCTACCACGGCCGTCTGCCGTCGCTCGGTGTGACATCTTCGGCTTTGAGCCTGTCCGCCCCCCCGCTGATCTACCTGTACGGAGGCGACAGCGGCGGGGTCGTGCCCACCGCCCTGAGCTTCGTGCCGGCCCGCCAGGAGCCCCCGCAGAAGCCGCCCTACAGCTACATCGCGCTCATCGCCATGGCCATCAAGAGCGCACCGGAGCAGCGCGCCACGCTCAGCGGCATCTACCAGTTCATCATGGACCGATTCCCCTTCTATCACGACAACAAACAGGGCTGGCAGAACTCGATCCGTCACAACTTGTCCCTGAACGACTGCTTCATCAAGGTGCCCCGGGAGAAGGGCCGGCCGGGCAAAGGCAGCTACTGGACGTTGGACACCAAGTGTCTGGATATGTTTGAAAACGGCAACTACCGCCGGAGGAAGAGGAAGGCGAAGTGTCAGCAGGAGGCTCTGGACTCCAAGGCCACCGGGCACAAGCGCACCAAGGCCCCCGGGCAACCTAGGGACCCTCAGACCTCCCCGAAACATCAAGCTGGCTCGAGGGTAACAGAAGCACCCGCGAGGGATGAGGAGGAGGAGGCGAGGACGCCCGCAGACAGGAAACATATTCTTGGCGAGTTGAATCACGCGGAACAGCCGCAGAGCCCCTCCACGCAGAGACTTAAAGTGCCCCCCAACCAACACAGCAGTCAGGCCGCCGGCAGGGAGCTTCACGCCCCACAGCCCGAGCCGTGCTCCGCGCCGAAACGCGCTGCGCTGTGGACGGACGACGCTCATCTCCCAGACGAGACCCTTGACCCGAAATCAGAGGAGAGGAAGTCTGCGTTCAGCCAAAGAGAAAGAGGTCCTCTCTGCACCGTCAGCTGCGCAGGAAACACAAACTTGGCCGTACCTGCGCCAGACAGGCCGAAGGGGAACACACTGAGCAGGGACAAATCCAAAGGTTTCAGCATAGACAGTATTTTAGCGAAGAGCGAGGACGAAATACGAGGCAGCATCCTCGGCCTGCCGGCCGAGACATGCGCACAGGGCCAAAATCCGGCTTTCAGCGCGTCCGTGGTCCTCGGCGCGCGTCAGCATCAGTTGTATCAGATGGGATTCCCTTTCTGCTCTTACTTGTCGCTGTCCTACCCTGACAAAGTGCTGCATTTTAAATGACCGGCAGACTTTCGTGCGTTTTACGCACCAAACGCGTAAAAGTGTAAAGTCTGTGTTTAGCTTTACACGCAGAGACATGAAACAAGATCTCTGCCATCATCTACTTTAAAGTTCGGACAAAAATGAACAAAGAGCGTCAAGAAGACTTTTATCTTCATCTTTACGCATGCGTCATTTTCAGGTTTGTGATTATATTCAGTTTTTTCCTCCCAAATCTGTTGCTCCTCAGAAATTATGGCTGCACAAAACATAATGCTCAGTACAATAAAAGGATGTCGTCCCTGCCATGTAAATATTTACGGATATTCTCATATGCTACACTTTACTCATGATGGTGAAACCCCATAAAGCAAGAACAGTGCGTAATTTAAAAAAGAATTTTAATTGTCGTGACTGGGCCTGAAGATGCCGTACAATATGAAGTTTAGTACTCAGTAATGATGTAACCAAAACCTATTATTATTTTCCACTCTGCTCTGGATTTGAACATTTATTTTACTGCAAAATAAAATTTAGCCAAAAATGTTGACGTGATTTATTTTAAATTGTGGTACGAAAGAATAAATAGAAACACTGCTGGAAAACTGCACCTTTGTTTCCCCCCCGTTGTTTTAAGAAAAATGAGACGACGTGTTTGGTTTTGTTCATTTTCATTAACGTTTATGAGTTTAAAAAATGAAATAAAACCCATATCAGGGCTTTCACCAACGGAAACATCAGCAGCAACAGAACTGAAAAACTGGACACTGCCTTGTAGTTTAAGGACAGACAGACATTCCATTATTAAAAGTTGATGCTTATCTAAAAAATTATAACAAAGTTTCATTGAAATCAAAAACATGTACCGTTTGAGAACAGAGAGATACATTGTGCATTTACAGAATTCATAAAAATTCAATTAATAAAAAAACATGAAAATGTTCTGGGGAAATCAGAGAATGTAACTTCATATTTGTGAACACAGCAAAGTATTTAAATCATGTTTTTCCAAGTTGAGCGGCAGTAAGAATGTGCGGTGATGGTGCTTTATTTCAGTGGAATGAGAGAGCAGAGGCAGCCGGGCAGTTTTTGGAGGGCAGCTTTATAAATAAACATCATGCTGTGCTGCTCCCTGGTATTTGTTGAGGAGGACCGGCCCACCTTTGCATTTCATACGGTGAGAAAAGATTATCGACCGCAATGAAATGCAGTGCGATGTGATAAAAGGAATCAAAAGGCTTCCAGGTGGAGGAGGAAGCATTCATATGAACAGTGCCGAGCACAGAAAACAATTGTAGATCATGATTATGA